CCCCAGGCCCGGCCCCGCCCCCGCCCCGCCCTGCCGCGCGGGGGGGGGGCAAATAGCTTGCAAGGGAAGAGCCCCACGTGTGTCTCCTTTGCAGGAGGATCTGCTGGTAAAGTTCGTTTGCGACACTTTTGTCTGCTCTTGTGACCCTCAGGTTGAAAGACGCTGCTCCAGTCCAGCCGGGGGCCCAGCCTGTGACCTTGGTGTCACTGGCACCTGCTCTGACGTGCTGAGCTGTGGGGCTCGAGCCGGCACATGGTCACATCTTGGAAATCCCCAGCCATAGGCTCCAACTTTTATTTTTCACAGAATCACAGGAAGTTTGGGCTGGAAGGGACCTCAGGAGGCCATCTAATCCAACCTGCTGCTCAAGGCAGGACCATCCCCATCTAGATCATCCTAGCCAAAGCTTTGTCTAGCTGGGTTTTGAAAACCTCCAGGGATGGAGAATCCACAGTCTCTTTGGGGGGTGGGGGGTGTCTAAGATGATGGACATGGGGAAAGTTTTAGGTATTTCAGGTGACAGCCCTCTTTCTGAGTGGGGAGGCAGCATCCTCCAGCCCCCACGTACTCGGCACCCATGTCCCCGCGTATCCAAATGACACAGTCCTGCCCTTTCTGAATGATATGCCATCCACGTGCGCTTGAACTGTGCCTTGGAGCTATGTAGACCGCTCTGCAGAGTGAATACCACATCTGCTAAGTTTTGCATCCCTTGCACCTTTATGCACATGATGCCATCTGGTCTACCTTTGCTTACCTGTTGTTACCAGTGAGCAAAAAAAAATCATTAATGCAGAGTGAATGTTGCTAATGTCCTTCCAGAGCATCCAAAACAACAAAAGCTAAAGCAGAATTAAACTATTGCATCTCTTACTGCTTATAGTCCCTGGTGAGCTGTTGCTGACACACTGCATTGCTTAAGTGAGGAATGCTGGGGGGTGGGGGGGAAGGGTTGGCTTTTTTGAAGGTTTGTATGCAACTCATTCCTTTAATTGCACACATGGGGAGCAGGCACAGGCCCCCAGACCAGTCACTGTGTTGCTGATTAATCTAGTTTGTTACTGCAGGTAATTCCCTTGCTTTTTCAAAATAGCTGCATCTGATGCAGTGAATGGAAGTGACAGAAGTAGGACTGCAGCAGGGAGTGCATGTAAATGGCTGCTAGTGGCTGCTGCCAACTCCAGGAGGGTAAAGATAAGGTTAAATTCTACTGTTTCAAAGTCTGAAGTTGAAGTTTTGCTGAATTTGATGTTCTGGAAGGGCATGACAGACCACCATACAACCTTAGCTTTGTGTTAATGATTTTTTTCTGTCATTGAATAATAATAAATTGAGCCCCTTAAATTAAGAATTTAACCTTATCTTTACCCTCCTGGAGAATTTTTGTAGAAGGCAGATAATTCTTGCTTTCTTTAGCTGTTACTTGCTTCAGTGGTGAGGTGCCTGGCCAATGGACTTCTGTCTAGCCTTCAGCCAAACATTTGGTTTGCTTGATTCAGTTTATCTCAGGAGTGTAAAAAATCAGTTGTTCAGGAAAGGCTGAATTATGCCGCTAAGTAGTGTTTATGAAGCGTTGCTGCAAAAGTAGGTGGATGCATATATGATTCTGTGTTGTTACTGAATGTTTGTGAAGGTAAAAATTGTCTGTTAAACTGTAATTGAGCTCTGCGTTTGCTGCTGAATGCCATACTAAGTTAGCAGGGGCAAGTGATACAGCATCTTATCCCATTTATTGTACCTGGAGTGGGTATGGAAGGACTCTCAACAAATAGTTTCTCTTTCTCTTGGATGGGCCTTGACACTGAATGCAGAGCTGCTGGCTCCATAATATGCAGCAGTGCACTTCAGTAGGGAGGAGCGGTTGTTTCCCCTTATGTCAACTATTAAGGCATACATGGTTGCTAGTTGATCCTGCCCAGGAGTCAGCACTGTTATAGTAGATGTTTCTGTGTAACTTACAGTTAGCTTTGGAAATCTAGTTAATGAAAGGTGAAGGGCATTTAACGTCCAAGTAGTTGTCTGTCTGCACACTTAGGCAGACATTATGTCAGAATCAGGAGGCTTTCTTAACATCCGAAAGATCTAAAATAGGGGTGCATAACTCAAATTTTGCAAGGTATACTTTCCAGTGGAGAGTAGCCACTAGTGACATCTGTTCTGCCCTCAAAGTATTTTCAAGTAGGAAACTGGAGTGCATTGCAGACACATGCATAAATTAACAGATGACATGCAGTCAGGGTCTGGGACTTCCTGTTTTGTTTTTCCTATTCTTTTTGTTTAATAAAGTAGTTTAACAGAGGATTATGGCAGGCCTCTGCAATTTATAGCCCCAGGCTGTGCATTGAGCATCCCTAATATGGAAACTTCAGTGCCTAGAAGCGTGTATTCTGCAAAACTTTCATTGGCCCTGGCTGGATAAATCCAACTGGCTGCTTTTAGGGTTCATATTTCTCTCTCAGGGATTAGCATTCCTGTTAGGGGTGGTGAGGAGTAGTGTAATGTTACCTAAAATAAAATACATGCTCAGTCTCAAGTATTCAGTTACAGTTCTGAATTCATCAAGTTCTAACTATAAAAGTGTTGAAGACTTTGCTGTGGCAAAAAGAATCCAAATACAAGTCCTTTAGAATAAGTATGTTTAAAAAAGATGGAAAGGTCTACTACTGTAGAAAATTACATCTCCTGAAACCTGCTTATAAAAAGGGGATCAGACATATGATAGTATAAACCAGCGGTGCTCGTGGTCTTCACCCTGCTGTCTGGATGAATGGCAGGGGCCTGTCCATAGGCTGGATTGGGCCTCCTGCTGATGCTGCTGCCCAGCTGGAGTCAGGTTCTGGGGCCCTGCATCGCTGCTACCTTGCTGGGATCAGGCTTTGGGGGCCTTGTGCTGCCACCTGGCCCTCATGTGCCACTGCACTTCTGCCTATTTTTAACATTCAAATACCATGAACCCTAAGGCTCACCTGGCTAACTAGTAGTCCCTATTGTATGGGGGGCTAATGGGTGAATGCTACAGCAAAATACCTGGGACAACAAAGGCAAAAAACAGGACAGGAGTAACATGAGGGCCAAAGGGTCAAAACGTGAAAATGAGTGTGCCTGAGGGGGACACTGAGCAGAGCCCCCCGGGCTGCACCCACCAGTCCTCAAAGGAGCCGGTGGATGCTGCCACTGGTGCTCTTCCTGGAAACGTTCACAGACAAGTGAGAGGAAAGTGGCCTGGTAGTCTCCAGGCATCTTTCTGGCTAGAGCCTCCTTCCTGGTCAAGTACCAGACCCACTTGGCCATGACCAGGAGGTCCTGGTACTTGGTGGAGTTGTGGGTGGGGTGACCAAAAACAAAAAGGTGGGGGGTGAAATTCAACCAGAACCTCAGGAGGAGTTCTGGAGGTGGAGGTGGAGGGGCTGCAGCCTGGCACGCTCGGGTCATGTACACCAGGGTTTCCCATGACAATGGCTCTGTGGAGGAGCTGCCAGCTGAGGTCACCAGTGGTTCATGGGATGAGGGTGGCCACTGCAGTCCTGATCTAATGTGCAGGACTTCCCAAAGATCCATGGGGAGCCTGGCAGGCTGGATGAGAAAATATTTGGGGCTAGAGCTGGCCTGCGGGCTGCAGGTTCAGCACCCCTAGTGTAAACAGTAACAATGTGCGTTGGCTACAGAGTTGTATTTCTGAAAGAAAAAATCTTTGAAAACAATATCATCAGCCCAGTGGCACTTTCAGGAAAGCATGCTATAAAGTCAAAATCTTTATTTGCAAATAAGCAAGAGATTGCTAATTCTCATAACAACCTTAATGAAGTGTGGTTTTGCAGTAGGTAAACATAAAATCAAAATTATACCTTGGCATATAATTTCTTCCAGTGCTGTTCTTAAGCTGTTTATAGATTTCATACACATTAGGGCTAGAAGAGACCTTGTAAGATCATTGGGTCCAGCCCCCTGCCCAAGGGGGAGAAAGTCAACTAGGATCAAAGGATCCCAGAAAGATAAGCATCCAAAAGTTTCTTAAAGGTGTCCAAAGTAGGTGCTTGCATCACCTCTAGGGGGAGTCTTTTCCAGGCCGTGGGGGCTTGGACAATAAAGAAGTTTTTCCTTACGTCCAGCTTAAAATGGTCTTACAGGAGTTTGTGACCATTGGACTTTGTCATCTGTTGGGGTGCTCTGGTGAACAGGTGTTCCCCCAGATCCTGATGCACACTCCTTATGTACTTATAGGCTGCCAGCAAATCACCCCTGAGCCTGTGCTTCTCCAGGCTGAAGAGTCCCATAGCTTGGAGCCTATTTTGTAAGGCCTGTTCTCTTGCCCTCTGATCATGCATGTGGCTCTCCTCTGGACTCTCTCAAGCTTTTCCACGTTCTTCCTAAATTGTGGAGTCCAGAATTGGATGGAGTACTTCATCTGTGGCCTCACCAAGGACAAGTACAGCAGGAGGATGATATCCTGGGCTTTGCTCGAGATGCATCAGTAGAATTACAAATTGCAAGACAGATACCCAAACTTTGACTTAGTTGGGCATGGCATGGCATGATGCACAAATGTGGAAATCGGGGATCAGATCCCAATCATGCCATTGAATTAACACTTCTCAGGACCTTGGAGAGGCACAGGTT